CACATATTATAAAAATTATAAACCATAAATTTATATTTTTATATTTAAACGAGCTAATAACAGTTTTAGTTACAAGTATCCATATCTAGTAAAAGTTATGAATACCCATACCTAATAAAAGTTATGAATTTCAATAGTAAAATTATGTAATATACAGAAAAATGAAAATAATAAAATATAATTTATGAATAAAATAAAGTAATGTATTCATAATTATAAAAAGACTCATTAAAGTTATATCGTATACGTACTCTGAAATATTATGGATACTTAGAAAACACAAATAATTCTCAACACGTTTAAAAACCATTATTTATAAAAATACATATGAATGTTCCCTGACCCTGATTTATCTATACGGCTGTAACACAATTTTAAAGAGACTCTCCATTCTCTCATTTTTTTTTTTTTTTTTTACCTTAAATATATTATTAATTTTATTGTCTCAGCACATTTGTTTCATTGACTTAAATTTTCTATAACTATTGTTTCAATTAATTTTATATAAGCATTATTGACGTACCTACAACAGTTAAAATTATATAAATCTATTAGGTCATCATTATAGCTAATCTCGTTATTCTGTTTACAGGCACCTTTAAAGCTTAAAATATAATTATAGTTTTATGTGTTGAAATATAAAAAGTCTTAATTGACAATGAAAGATTTAAAAATTAAAACTATTTAATAACTATTTCTGAACAATTGTAAAAAATCCATCGAAAAATGAATACACAAATAACTTAAAGTTATCGATATTTCTCTTGACAACTAAACTTATTGTTCGTATTTAATATACACACACATCGACATATATATATTGAAACTAATATTTATATCTAGGATGATGATATTTAAATAAAAATCAACGATATAAGTACGGCAATTTATCGTAAATAATTCACATTCTCTAGGATACTTTCAACCGCGATAATTTACAGAACGACAATTGTTCACAACTTAAACCAATTTACCTGATCATATTTTATAAATTATAATAATTATACAATATAAATATATATAATTATCATTCCATATTATCAACTATTATTAACGTGTATATATATGTAGACATGTAGCTGCCGTATAGAATGGTATAAAATAAATATTAAACTAAATATTTTAAAAATTGTTCAATTTCATACAATAATTTTAAACTTGAGGCCTGGTGTGGCGCGGTAGTTGGCCTCAGTCACTAAAATGTTCTGAGGTCAAGCATCGGCCGGTATCACTAGCTTTCGGTTGGGTGACTATCTGAGTTATTAGTGACGAATCCATAGTGCTCACACATACACACACGTGTTCCAACCCTACTTTAAACCCTTACTATACAAAATAATTTGCGAATTTACGTAATTCTCAAACTTCATACGTTTCTATAAAAAAATTTGCCTATTTATTTCAGATTTTTTAATTTGAAAAAAAATGTATCATTTAAATTTCAAAAACATGAAACAAAAAACTCCCACACGTCACACTTAGGAAATGCAAGAGTAACAGGGCCAGATTAAGAGTTTACCCGGCCTGGAGCTTAGTATTCCAAAGGGCCCTTAGTCCTTACAATATTTATTACCAATAACTGAATTTTATTTATTTAAAAAAATGATACAAGGTAAATTGCACAGAAATATCAGAAAAATTTTTAATATTTGTCAATTTTTATTAAGTACGTGCTATTATACAATATTATTCATTAAATGTCAAAATATAAATATAAAATATAAAAACATAAAAATTAAAGTATACTATATTATATTATATTTTAAAACTAACTTTACTATCTTATTTTCTCTTCTTTTTTTGAAACTCCACAATAATTTCATTTGTATTAATAAATCTGTTTATCTGTTAATAAATGCTCGCATAAAGAAAATGATCGTTCACAATCAACTGAAGTTATTGGAATGAATGTGAATTTAAAAAAGCTTAAAATCATTAGGTCTTGATATTAGGTCTAATTAAATTTTATAATATTTCTTACACATAGGATACATGGGATAATAATCATTTTTTAAATAGCCAATAGCCTTACCTTATTTAGCAATATTTTCATACTTTCTTTTTCCTATTTTTTAAGCTTTCGCTTAGCGGCTCCACTAGCACATTTTTAAGACATTGTAAGTAATATTATATTGTAATCAGTAATCACTAAATAAGTCAACTGTTGGGATTAAATCGTGAAAACCAAATGATGATCGACGACAGACTCTCGTATGTTTCTAGCAAAAACAATCTAGATTAACTTTAAATAAATCAAAACCAAATCTACTAATAAAAAAAATATTGTCGGAAATAAGATAAGTAACGTAATGTTCTAGTTGATGCACCGAATGCAAACAATTATTTCAATCTGATATTATCGCTCCGCCCGTTTGCGAATGGCATTCAGTACATGACGTAATAAAAATAATACAATTAAATTACGAAAATTAAAAAAATGTGTAACCAAAATAATATTTGAACTTAAAATATTTTGAATTTGGTTTCAGATAGAAGGCCCCCTCGGGGCCTTCAATATTTTAGGGCCTGGAGCACGGGCTCCTATAGGCTCCGTGCTTAATCCGGCTCTGAAGAGTAAATGTAAATATATTATTCACATTATAAAACAATGCCTCACAAATAAAAAACAAATTGATAATAATTTACTAAATTTAACTAAATAATAATAATAATAATAGAGAAAGTGTGGTAGTAGAGTGTTAATATAGGTACTTATTATTTGTAAAGGACAGTAAATTAAACGCGTATGCCAAAAAAATAAAAGCTCTAACCATTAAAATAACTCTAATCACTTTAGTTTTGAACTTGTTATACTATATGTCCATATCAATATAATTAATGTAGTGTTAATGATTACTTATGATGTTATGATATATTTTATAATTAATAAGCAATTTAATTTCAACAGTGAATTATTTTTATAAACTACAATACCATAATACAGTGTTTAAATACGTCTAAGTAAAACATATTTTATTAATTCAAAACTGTATAATAATTATTAAGAAAAAAAAAATAATAGTTTATTAAAAACTATTGAAAAAAACATTGTATTATTTCAGACCCTCTAAGTAGTCTAAGTAAACGGGCCTGTGTACGCCAGCATCATCCTATGATTCCTCAACATGCTTTATACTAAAGAAAAATGTTTTAAATTTATTTACTAAGTAAATCAAGATAATATACTTTTAAGAGGTCAAAATTAAAAATTTTCATGAACTTTCAAAAAAAGTAATCAGAAAAAACAAAAAAATATTAAGGAAAACCAGGATTTTTACGCAAAATTAGTTTTGATAAAATAGATTTTCCTATTTTCTCATAAATTAATAATCATGTAGATCAGGGACGGTCAAACTTTTTTCGGCCGCGATCTACTAAAAATATACTTCACCTTTGAGGATCGACTTCGATAAAAAAGTTTTTATTATTATTAAGTTACTATACCACCATAATTAATTTTCGTGAGCGCAGCCAAAAAATAAATTCTAGCACGATCGACTGTTTGGCCGCCCCTGATGTAGATGATATTTAAAATGTTAACTAAATTTTTTTTGTATTATAGAACTTTCTATAAATGGTATAGTTTTTAAATTATTTCGATTCTTTTTGAATTATTTAAAAACATAATACGAGATATGAGATTTTTTGCTTTTAGTTTTTTTTTCAATTTTTGTCTTAAAATTAACTATATAATATTTGCTAAATTTCCAATATATTTAAAGTCAATAAAAAAAATCTCCTTGAATTTTTTTCTAATTAGCACATAACTAAAATTGTTTTTTATTGTCTATTATCCAATTTTATCGACATATTCACACAAAATGCTTAAAAAAAATCAAGTCTATTTATTTTTAATATTTTAAAATTGCTTTAAGGATAACTTGTGTAAAGTCTTGTAATACATATTCAAGCTTTCATACATACAATTTTTATCAATGCTAAAAAAATATAAATCTTAGGTACTAAAATCAGCATATTTATCGCTTCGCTTGTAATACAAAAGTTCAAACATCAATATACCAACATTATAAAAAATAATCTTACTATATTTATTTATTTAACTTGTATAAATTATAGAAAATTGTAGGTACAATTAATTTTATTATTTTATAATATATAGCAAATATTCTTTATGGCAGTCAATTAATAAGTAATTTTTATTAATTTTATTTTTTATTTATATAAATATTTTATTTAGTATTAAATTAACTTATCAAAAATAATATATAAGTACACTATAATAAATAAATTACTTTAATAGTGACATGAATATATTATAAAATATACTTTGTAATTAATATGTGAATGTGTTGTAGTCTTGTAGATGAACTTCAAGAGAAATATCAATATAATTAATATATATCAGGTGATAAGCTGTACGTAATAATTCGACCATAACAATAATATAGCATTTATACGTACCTGCTATACTTGATAGCCTACTTAATGTATTAGATACGTGACTTTTTTGATTTTAATCATCTCGTTTATAGATTAAAATACAAAAAAAAATTTAATTTTTAGTTCAAATATTTTCAATTTTATCAATCGAAAACAACTATAACAAACTACATCATATCCTGCACGACCTGCACTATATTACGTCTATATTATTCTTATTATATTATTAACATTTAACAACCCACTAGTTTGGCGCTTCTTTTATACTGTCATAAAGGGCATTGTATAAAACCACAGTTATACCTAATTAACCACGAACATCCAGAGTAGTAACCAAGGAGGTAGATTATCGATATCTACAATTTGATACCAATCTACCATGGTAACCCCAAAATAAATCGTGATAATAATGATAACAATTATCTTTTACATAAACATTATTTAATATTTTATTTTCTGTGATATATCAATTACCATTAGGCATTGACCAATAATTAATAAGTAATTTTGTGAATTTACAATTATTTATATTACTTAATATTTTAATTATATATTCTTGCCTAGTTTTTCGACATTCAACACTGGATAATATTAAATACAAATAAATTAAAAAGTTTACTATATTATTGATTAAATTTTAACTTTTTTATTTTTTGCCGCCTACAATATTTTCTAATGCTATATTTTTTGTAACTGACCATTTCTAATTGGCGACTCAAATGATAATTGTAATTGTAATATGAAAATTATTTAGGTATGCATTTTATAAGAAAAAAATTTGATATTGCAATTTGTGTTGCGTTTCATAATAATGTAATGTAGTAATATACTAATATATTAAACTAAATTTTATTCTAGGATTTCATTGATGTTATTCAACGAGGAACTTTTGATATTTAGACATTCCAAAATCAATTAAAATTGGACATCAAAGATAATTGAAAAGTTTCTGTTGGTAAATTCAAATATATCGTTAATTCGTTTTTACGATGTCGTATGCAAGTGCTCTATCAAAAAATATAACAAAAACACCCATAGAGTTTAAAAAGCTACCAGATGAGAAAATATTGTTTGTTATAGATACTTTTGCATTGTCTAAAACTGACATTGATTTTAGTCCTACTAATATAGAACCAATGTCTAGTGTAGCAATAATTCGAAGGGCTTACAGATTTTTTGCATTGCAAAAGAATCGATTCCAAAATAATTCTTTTGGTATTTGTTTATTAACTCCGCACTCATTTAATCTAGTTATGGATTTTACAACAAATATAAATATTGTAATTGAAAAATTATCATCAATATTGATTCAAAATGATAAACCTGAAGAAGCTGCTGCATATGATTTTGGCCCTTTATTAAAATATATTGGTAAATTAAGGAATCTTCACAAAGACTGTATTTTTAGAGTTATCATGACCTACAACAGAGATGACTGTTTACCGATTATTGAACCATTAGACAAAAAAACTTTTAATATTTTCTGTTCACCAACATTTTATTTTGATACCATTTATGTATGTGAAAATGATATTGAAACAGATGAGATGGCTCAAACTATTTATGGTAAGTTGGCTCTATTGTGTAGCACTTGGTCTTATAAAGTATGTGTTCAACGTAAGCCAATAGCTATTATAAATGGAATTACATCACTGTTGCCTCATCCCTATACTAGAGAACTTACCAAAAAATGAAAATTGTTTTATTGTTAAATATATTTACAGTTTAAACATGTATATTATAAGTAAACTAAGCCTGATTATTGAGTATAAAATGTATTTTTTAATTTCTTGTATATTTTTTTATTTTTGTGTACTTTTGTTACTGAATAAAATTGTTATACGAATGAAAACTCCTATTAATTTTTATAATAAATGAACTTCTTATATAATATTCATTTTACAGATACATTTTTTATTATTAAGAATTACATACTATTTTAAATTTTTTTGTACTAAAAGTATAAACAAGCCATAAATAATGTGATGTTTGATCGCTCTAAATGTTCTTTATACTATATTAATTGAATATAAATAAAATCAAAAACTTATTGAAAATTTAAATTTGTTTATGAAATGTATTTTGTTTGTATTTTATTCCATTCATGTGTAAACACAAATGATTGTAAAAAGTTATACAAAGTCATTCTAATGTTTATTTATTTATTTTTGAAACTAAAAAAGATTATCAAAAATAATGATACTTCAATCTAAAGTAATCCATAAACGTTCATTTAGGATTTTGAATATAGCTCATGATTACATTGTTGATTATTGCACGATTATCACTCGTCAGTTTTTATGATTGATTAATATTGAGCATGTTTAATCTTTTTTTCACTTTACTATCAGTCGCGAAAAATATTTTGAATGAATGTGAATATTGAATGGTATAAAAACTTTTATCAATTTATTTTTTGAAGTAGATTTTTTTGTTTTATTTGAACACTGATATTACACATTAAATGTTAAGTAAATTACATGGTTGGCACTAAAAAAAAAATGTTTCATGTTTTCATATTTCTAAAACTAAACCTAACTAGTTTCAATGAACAATTTTTTACACCAATTCATGACTAAATGACGTATGTATTTTATTGAATCAACAAAATATTATAATAATTTTATAGTACAATTAGCAGTTAAGAGTTAGTTGTTAAAATATGTGTTGTGGAGCAAAACACTAAAGGCATGAGATCTATAGCCAGTCAACACTATTTAGAATTGCAAGATACATATTTTAAAATATTTGATTGGTACATATTGGTTAATAGTTTGGTGTTTATAGTCATAATTTATAAATTATAAGTATTTACTAAAAGTTATAAAATGTAATAATTTGTACATGACACTTGATAATTAGCTTTGACTATTGAGCATTATTGATACTTTGCAACATTGCAACATACGTGACATAAATACTTTATATTTTAAATTTTTATGTAGTAACAAACCAACAAAATCAAGTTTACATTATTGTATTATTTTATTTTATTTTTGATTTTATTACAACTTCTTATTTATAAACAAATATGACACTAAAACACAGGTTTATATAAATTTCACTGTGCTCTTAGAAATCCATTATAATATTAGTTAAAACAAAATCATAAAAACAAGAGCTAAAACATAATTTTAATAACACCAACACCATACTTAATTCAATCAAATTAGTAGCATTAGAATTTAGATTCTACTATCTGGAAATAGTGGAAATTGGAATTTAATGATTTTGGACTTAATTTAATTTTGTTATGATTAGTGATTTATCGTTACGCGATAACACGAAATGGTATCTAAGTTCAATTAAAATCGTATGATTGTTTACAACTTCAGTTTATCGGTACCACAGTATTTACTATTTACTATTTAGTATTAACTAATTTTATTTTACTATTTATCAGTATTGAATATACACGTTATACAAAATTTATTTTACGCTTCTTCTTATTTACTATAAAAATAACAATAATAACTAATAAGTACAAAGTAATAGGATATTATGATATACTGTATATGCCAATAAACAAACAATATAAGTTTTTCCATTAGGCATAGATAATTCATTTATCTTCTAAGTTCTAAGGTTTGTTCATTGTACCATTTGCATCTGTATGTTTGTAATGTTTGCTTAATTTCTATGAATTTATAAATTAAAATTTATGCTTCAATGCTTCAAACTGGAATTTGATTTATCATTTAATTCTTGTGCTTAGTGCCTAGATTACAAACTGACTTTCCTAGTTCTATGAATGTTTGATAGATTCTATATATATAATACCTCTAAAATTTCCTTATAATTTATAGGTATTACGTATTTCAAACATTGATTCGTTACAATGAACTCGATACCACAATTAACCCTATTGATGATCTATTTGTCTTTACTCTCAATCGGGAGCTCTATAAGATGGCATATGCAACCTAACAATCGAAAATGTCTCAGAGAAGAACTCAGAGAAAATATATTGATCAAGGGCGAATATGAAGTAACTCAGGTTGACAATCAGCAAGTAGATTATGTTGTAAGTGTATTAAAATTTTAAATTTTCGGCTGTTATATAGTATGTGGTCTACTGAAAATCAATGAATTAAAAATGATATCCTATAGTATATCATTATCCTTTTATAGTTATACACAATTATAATAAAATAAGTTAAAAGTATACAAGAATATAATTTTTTCACCATAAGGTTCATGTTGTTTCATATTTGTGACATCTCTTTCTCATTTAACGTAAAATTCTCTTCTCCTTACATAAGTATCAATTCATAGCACATCCAGTTTCTACATTTAAGACATTCAGCATTTTAATTTTTTGCCAATTATACATTTATGGTTGATTCATCACTACTTATAATTAAGTAAAAATCTTTTGCCAATATATCAAGTGTATGATTACGTATAAATTGTAATATCGGGAGATAAGTGAATTACTGACCGTTTGAGCCCATATTTTTACAAAATATCAAAGTATTGTTATCAAAAGCCATAAAGATAAACTTAGGCCTATATAAAAACTGACCAGTCACAGGCAGACTGCATACTACACGATAATCAAATTTTCAACTACCTAACTTTGATTTGAATAATTTTACAAGCTTACATAATTTATCATTATATATTAACATTTCTCAATAACAAAAAATTAGTATTTAACTACAGGATTTAGTTAGCAATTTTCCAACATAATTTTAATTTGTAGTTAAAAAAAAAAAAAAAAAAAATTTACTGAACTTAATTTAATAACCTACCTATAAATATTAAATAATGTTCCTTTTTATTTTTATTTTATCATAAATTTTATAAAAAAAAATTGAAGTTATAATTTTTTTACAAGTATATAATTCACATTGTATGTGACACATACACTTATTTTTCTATAATAAATTAATGCAAATATTTATATTATTCATAGATTAAAGATTCAAAAAATCATATATTATCACAGAAAGAAGATATAAGTTCTGGAAAATTTACTTTTAGTGTGGAGAATTATGATGTATTTGAAATTTGTTTTATTTCAAAATCTTTGAATAGTGAGTATTAAAAAAAAAATTTAAATAAATTATATAATTAAATAAATTAAAATAATTTTTTTCATTTTTTTTTTATCTTTTAGGTGAATGTAAGTTATAACTTATTACTCAAATGATGAATAGATACTATGGATATTTTCTTATTACATTTAAACATCTTATACTGTTTAAGGAGCTAATAAATTAACAAATTTAATACAATAGTGTAATTTCATAAGATAAATTTTTAATACTTAACATTTCTTTTATTTACATATCCTGGTACTGTACAAGAAATTTTTGTGGATATTAAAACAGGCATAGAAGCTAAAAATTATGAAGGGGCAAGTTTGTCTTTGTATTTAACCAACTATATTACCTGACTTCTTTCAAGTTAAAATTTTATCTGTTTATCTTTTGTTTGAATTCTCAGGATTGAAAAGTCTTTTTCATTCAATCAACATTTGTTGATTGTTAATTTAATGAATGTCGCATTGCATATTTTTGGTGAATTAAGGTTGATATTCGCTGTATTTATATTAAGTTTTCATGGCGTTTTCTAAATTAATACATCACAAAAAATGATATCTAATTATTGTGACTATTTAGTTTTTTTTTTAATTAATGGCAACCTTTTTTTATAAACTAAAAAATATTTGATTGTTGTGAGTCAAAATAAAATTTCTGAATGAGTAATATTTTAGAGTTGAATCCCAATATAAGAAAAGTAGTCTACGACCTGCTAGGGGACTTAAAGATTATGTGTGCAAAATTTGATGCTAATTGATCAAAAACTGAATTTGCATTAAGAACATTAAAATTTATTTATAATACCTTAGATTTTATATAATCACTGATATTATATTCTATTATCTTCTTAATTTTAATTATTGTTAATCTGGCTTTAGTTGTCATACGAAAAAAAATATTTAAAAAAAAAACATTTTATTGTTATTCAACACTTTTAAAACTTTATGAAATTACTTAGAGTTTTTAAAAGTTGTTTAAAGAATTATCAAATTTAATGTCATCATTTTACCAAAAATCTTCTAAATTTTTTTATTAGTGTATAATTATTTATATTTTTGAACTGTAATGATAGGTTGCTGAAGCTTATAAATTGAAACCTCTTGAGATGGATCTAAAACGACTTGAAGACTTTTCAGAAGCCATTGTATTAGAATTCAAGGATATGAGAATACGCGCTGATGAAATGCGAAACACAAATGGTATTTAGTTATTAATACCTATGAGATATGAAATTTATCTTTTTAAATTTATAATGTTATTTATTTCAGAAACTACAAACAAGAGAGTTTTCTATTTTAGTTTGTTCAGTATGCTTTGTTTATTAATTTTAGCAACTTGGCAAGTATGTTATTTAAGGCGTTACTTCAAAGCAAAAAAATTGATTGAATAAGATTTGAAGACTTCAGAAGGATAAAAATTAATAATACATTTGACTGGCATTATGTTTTCACATGAATTGCAATTTTAGACACATTTATCATGTAATTTATTAAAAGTAGTTATACCATACACTGTAAATAAGGATTTCAAGATGTTGATTCAATTCGTAATCTTGTCCAAACCTCAGTCCTAATAAAATTTTAGTTAAATATTTAACTTCAACTTCTGTCAATGTTTAAAAAATGTATGTACTCTAAAATTGTAATTTATGAAACTGTTAATTGATGTACAAAAACCGTCTAATGATGGACTATACCAAAATTGGATATAACTATGAAATGAATTTAACTAGTCCCACATATAATATTAATGAAATAAAACCTAAATATCTAAGTATCATTACATTGTTTTTTCTAGTCTTTTTCTATAGTATTCGAATAAATCAATTGTTTTAAATTTTATTATTTAAATTATTATGTTGGTAAAATATTTTATGTATTTTATTAACAAACTTGTACTATTTATTGTAGTATTTAAACAAAACACATGTTTTTGATTTATTAATTTATAAAATAATTGAAATTAAATAATGAACATATTACAAAAGTACTTGATATGATTTCCAGGATTCTAAAAATATAATTTCATTTAACTTCCAACCTCATTATGTTGTTTATATTTAAATAATTAAGAGTTAATTTTTATGTAACAAGAAGTATACAAAATAAATAACTAAAGAATAAAAATAATTCACTTATTATTTTGTAACACAATAATGGTTGAATTCTAAATAATGTATAAAGAAATTTCCAACAAATATAACATAACTATTTAACACATTGATTACCTCAATCAATAATTGTAACATTGTCCCCCACAACTATTAACAAATTGCAAAACTACCCTTACTAATTCTAATTAACTTGAGCTCAAGATAACACTTCTATTTATATAAGTTGTTTATCATTTAATTTTTATTAATATTCCCTTGTATCCCGATGTCAACACACAGTTACAGACCAATTTGACGTTATATAATGCTATATAACACACGTCAAATGATATGAGGCACTCAATGTATTAATTAAAATATATTTTTATAGGAACAAAAACATTCTTTTTATAGATATTTTAACTAAAACTTGTTTGCACTTATATTAAATTATACAATATAAATGGATATAAAATGAACTTAATCTTAACGTACATAGTATAAATATAATTTCAGAAAAAAAAAAATTTAGTCATGTTGTCATTTACATAGTTTAAACAGTAATCTAAAAATTATCATCCTGTTAAATTATCTTATACTATTTTTTCTGATGTAAAAGCAATTTAAATCAAATAATTATTAAGTTTAGAAGTATGTCCTGAAAGTTTTGATTGATACATTTTGCTTATTAAGAATGTAATAGGTTTACAATTCTAATCGAATGATTGATAGTACAAATATCTAAAAACATATGTGTTTTGCTTCTGATGAACTTTGTTCCATTGGACAATATGGACACTTTAATCTAAAAACAACAATTGAAATAATTATTACATTTGCTATATTTACATTTAATACAATTGATCTTACTTAGTTGAGGTTCCTAATTTGTGTAAAGCATCTTTGGATATAATATGGCCACAAATAAGTCTCATAGGAGGATTGGTGTCTGAACTTTGTTGTCTGAGAATAGGACACGCAAACATTGAATGATATCTATGTTCTGTGTCTAAATCAATTTCAATCTAAATATAAATGAATATATTAGTACCAAATAAAAATGAATAACTTTTAAACACAAATAAATCTACATACAGGCAACTCATCTTTTCCTTTCCAAATATCATTCACTTTCCGTTGTGTCATTACATGTTTGATATTTAAAAGTGCAGGGAGCGCAGCACATCCAGCATTAACACTTCAAAATTAAAATGATAATCAATTAAATTAAAAATTAAAACTGTATTTGTTAATAGTTTTACTTTTATTTTATAGAAGTAAATTCCTTGTTTATTACTAAATTAAGTTCTCAAAATAGATTTAAAAATTATTTGTAGAACAAACCTTACTGCGTACAGTCAACCCCCTCTATCAACAAAACAACCTAAAATGTTTATTGAGCAATGGTTCCAAAAAATGCAAGTTAAAAATATACTTAAAAAACACTAAGATAATATTTTTAAAAAATATATATATAAAAACACACATATTTCATTAGTTAATTTTCAGAAATACTTTTTCTAATATTACAAATGTTCTTATATTTTATTATTAACTTTTCTATATCATTGAAGCAAACAATAATTAACTTATAAATAATAGAATACTAAATTACTATAAATGTATCAATAATGATTATAGAAATAATTTCTAAATTATTGAAAGCAGATAAAATGTTTAATTTCATGAGTTTGAAGTTTAAAGTATTATAGTCAAAACTTTATATAGTTTAAGATCATACATGTAATCATTTACAACATTTAAAGTATAGTTACCTGACATTTAGTAAGCTATCAAAACTTAATCCAAGTAAAGTACAAGCATCCCTCGTAAATAATTCAATAACTTCATCCCACATATTTTCTTGAACCAAAGCCGAATATGGTGAATTATTAATTCCTTGTGGGACAAACAATAACATGCCCATCATTGTTTGAATTTCTGTTGAAAAAAAATGTTAATACCTTTTTTTGTAAAATAAGTATAATTTATAAACCTTTTTCGTATTTGTCAACAAATTGACTAAAATTAGCACGAGCATATGCAACAGCTTCAGTTTGATGTTCTACACCCTTTTCAATAATTGATAAAAACGCGAGTTGGTGAAGTTTAAACTCAAGAGCGGAACTCTATAACAATAAAATCAAGTATACCAAAATTTAGTTTTACTTTATTCAAATTTTCATTCTTATGTCATTGTTTTGATTATTATTTTATTTCTTTACAAACCTTATAAAATTGTTGCATTATTTTTTTTGCCAATTCTATTCTTTTAATTTTTTTGGTCTTTGGCCTTGGTTTCATTATACCACCAGAAAATTTTGTCTTTTTTGCATGATATGGAATACGAACTGGCAAATTTGAAGCTGTAGAAATCCTTTTAACCAATGGGTATGGGGGATACATCTAAAAAAAAAAATAATATTTATATTATCATACCAAATTCAATATTAAACAATAAGTATAATTGTAGAAAAGATTATGATACAAATTATTTAACTTTTAATTTGGTGTTAAAAATTTGTAATTTTTAATTTCATTTTAATAGTAATTATTTATAAAATTGAAATAAGAAATAAAAATTTAAATAGTAAAAACAATTTATATTTTAGGGTGACATGAGTTTTTTTAAGTTTTTTTTTTTGTTTTTTTTTTAAAAACTTCCTAAAATAACAAATAAATAAAAATGTTTTGTTTAATTTCTTAAAAATATTTCAATATATTACTTGATTACATTAAGTTAGTAAATCAAATTATAAATTATTACAAGTTACAATTACATAATTAATATTGGTATGATATAATATTTATTTCAACAAGTGAAAGTTATAAATTTAAAGCAATATTTCGTTATTAATACATTTATATCATATATTTACCTGAGTATCTAACACTGCTCGGTTTTCTTTTGCCCATTCTAATGCAGGGTAAATATTTTTTTTAATTAACGACTCTTTAATATATTTTAACTTAGCAAATGGCTCTCTAATGCTAGGTTCCATGTTTATTCCAGATTCCTAAAAAACAAAAACTTCAATAATAATATTGTGGAATATAATTTTTTTTTTTATAAATAAAGAATTTATTTACTTTACGACAAAAAAGTTACATGAATTATCTTTTAAAAGTAACTAACACAACTATAAATAAATATATAATTATAATTTTAAATTAACTAACCATTACAAGTTCATCAGCAATATCCAAGTCACCTTGTCTATAAAAATGTTGACAAATAATATAGTTAAGAAATGTGACATTTTTTGGATCATCAAAAATATCCTCTTTACAAGTTGCATCAAAATTTGATATAAAATTCTACAAAGTAAATAAATATAAAACATTTATTTAATTATTAGTTAAACTAAAAATAATATAAATTTAATTAAATCATACCCTGTCAATTGCTTTTCCCACTTTTGATACAGTACTATGTAGTTCCCGATGTTCAATAGCTAATTTTTGTGTTTTTTCTTTTGATTTATTAATTAAATTTGATATACAATTAATTGATGACAATTTATTTTCTAAAACACAAATTGATTAAAAATTTACTATAACTGCATCTTATGTTAAGCATACAAAAGGTTTGTTAAACACAATAATTAATTTGTCTAGAATTTTTCTAAAATTGAATAAACACAAAATTTATGCTGACCAAATTAATCTAAAAACAATGATGATAATAAACAGTTTATCAAGTTAAATAAAAAAAAAGTGTACATGAAAATGCACCTATCAACTGAACGTAATCACTAAGATTGTATCGTAACTGTCATTTATTATTAACAACTACTAAGGGTTAAAATTTTACCTTCTTTAATAGTATTCGTTTTCCAATCATTTTGTATTATTTCCAGACTATCAATCAATTGCTGCAATACATTATTATAACTTTTACTCATATCTTTAAATCTTGACAATACTTTGTCAACCTCACGATCAACGGCTAAACACGCATCCATTTTAAATACCTTTAAAGTATTAATACAGTTAATATGTAGAAATCATATGATAAAGAAAAAATTTTTTATTATTATTTAAATGTATACATAAGAAAAAAAATATTTTTTTTCAAAATTGTTTATAAAAATAATATAATAACAACTAAGTAAGTACCTTGATTTTGAATACAAATGTTCAAATATGGATATTGTCTTAACAGAAATGCACGCTTTTGCAGGACGTGATAACCATCTGTTGAAGTGTTAACAGATTCAACAAAAACATTCCATTTATGTTTGGACAAATGATTACATTTACAACGTTTGACGCGAAATAAAACGTTACCTTTTCTACAACTCGGATTACACTATTACGATGTTAAGTACATTAACTGTTTATCAATCGACATTCGGTACAAGTAACATTACACAACTATCTATCTATTTAATAATAATTTTAAGCACATTAACTTAGCGATTCAAACAATAACTGGCAGACGAGAGACGACGATACCACCGGAAACCGACGGTTCAGCAGAAAAAAAATGATTACACTTTTTATGATTTTCACATTAATATTTCCATGGCTTCATGGACAAAATAGGCAACAACATGTACAAATCCTGACTTGCAATATTATAATAATTATTATACACAATATCATACATTATGATTATACATTATTACATTAACGCTGTAATCAGCTACCGAGTGCCAATGCCATTGTTTATTATTTATTTTATTCAGTTCTGTTATCTAAGTTGAAGGTGTTGGGCAGGCACGCATAATAATTGATATACTGAATACGGCTAACAGGCATAGATAATAATTAATAACATAAACTGTGTAATGTGTATTGTGTATATTATCTGAACGAAAAATTCCACTCGTCCTCTCAGCGGTGACTTAATTAAATTATAGTTTGGACATGGTTGGAGGCACGGTTAAATATTTACTCTGTAGTACAGAGTCTGTGCTATAAGTATTACATCATTCTTTAATCGCGAGTGGAGGCATGGTTGAAATTTGAAATAATATTACACGTTTATCGAACATATGTAGTATGTACTAACAAGTAGTAATATCATAGGTAAATTCGCATCAATAGTATTTACTAAATCAATAAAAAGCTTTATAAATGTACAATTTATACATTTTAAACGTTATTTTAAACTCTAGAATGCAGATGTGTTGTTACTTGTTATTGATGCCCGGTGTTAATCACTAATTACTGTTTAAATTTAAATTCAAATGTTTTATTATTAAGTTTTCCAAATCAAAATTATTAATTATATCAATATAAAATGGCTTTCCAATAGCAACTTCATAAATTAAACTGTAAAATATGCTGAGTATGTTAATTTTATTTTTATATTACATATATAGATTTTTTGTTAAAAAATATATATATATATAGGTGTATTGAAGTTTTTAATTTAAGTTACATTATTTAACATATTATTAAGTAATCTATTTAATTTATTAATGCTCTATGGTTAATTATCTACATACTTATACTTACTTAGTATTATTTATGCTCAGTTAAGAACTACTTTTAGCTTTAAGTTCAACATTTTATTATTAACATTTTATTTATTTATTTTTTTTATAATCCCTTAACTCACATTTTTATATCAAAAAATTAAGAGTATTGAAAGAAAGAATAATAAGGATTGAATATCCTTGATAAAACAAAAGTTTTCAATATAAAAAATGTAAGCCAAATTATACAACTAAAGTACCTATTTTTTTTTTGTACTGAATTTTATTATCATACCTTCAGACCTTCTATATAAAACCATGCAATATCTTAAAATTTCAAAAATGTACACAGCTAACAAATAACTGATTGCTTTAGTTATAGCTACATTAAAAAGTTACTCTTATTAATTTTTATAAACTATCAAAAAATGTAGCTGTAATCTGTGTATAAGTTTATAGAAGCATTATTGATGTATGGCTATTAATAAATAAGTATGACTGTATAGTTATTATTTTAAGTATATTGTTCTCTATGGTGTTAATTAATGATAATTAATATATTATAATTACATTATAAACAACTCAGCAATAGTCAAGACTCCAATAATTTAGTATTCTTTACTATTTGGAAACCTAGATGGCTAAATATGGTTTTTTGTCTCACAAAATATGTGTGAATTGCATGATTTAATAATTATTATTTATTAGTATAATATATACCAAATAACTGTTTCCAAGTCTTAATTTAAAAATAATTTTGTTTTTAAGTTTTAACCATGAAAAGCTTTCAAACTTTCCATAAAAATTATACCATTCATTTTTATTTTTAATTCAGTTATTGACATATAATTAAGCTTAGAAGTACTTAGGAATAAATAAAGTACTTATAACTTATACTGTTTCACATATAAAAACTGTTTATAGTAAAAAATAATATTTTTAATGATACATGAAAAAAATATGTTTTTGATTTTTTGGAAATAATTAAATTAAATTTTATAAATAAATGTGAATAATTAAAATTAATTTGTTTGCATGCAATTATATTTATTACATAAAATAAAATGTGTTGTTTACATATTTTTTATAAACATTTTCATAAGTCAGAATAAAAAGATCTATATAATAAAATTTAAGACATTTGAACAGAATGTTTCCTTGTAAAATATAATTTAATATTTTAATATGTTTCTGTATAAATTAAATAATTTCTTTTTTTTAATACTCTAATACAGGGATTGCTAACCTTTTCAATCAAATGAGCTACATTCAAATTTTCGAGTCTCAGGTGATCGAGATCTAGGTCTAAAGAATAATTATTTATTGTTTCTTCATAATATAGTCAAGTTAAAATTGATAATAATATAAATATATAATAGTTTGTTATATACCTAAACTATTCCCACTATCGCAACTGACCGATAATTGTAAATTCAAAGTAAGTACATATATATAATAGGTACAATATAGCAATAATTATCCAATTATTTATTATGCAATTGACCGATAATAGTAAAATTAATTTTTATTTGCGATCGGCCTATATTCCTAGAAAGATCAACTAGTTGGCGACCACTGCTCTAATCCACAACAATTTACATTATTTAAAGAATTTCTACTTTTCTAAAAAATCTAAAATAAATTCTAAATTTCTTAGTTCATACTCACATTATTTTTGGACGAAAAATAACTTAATTTAGATACTTTTGAATAATATTAACTTGAAGTCAACACATTAATCTTAAAAAAAGTAATTTATTAAGTTAAAAGTTAATTTGAAAAAAACAATCTATACCTAAGAGGCACAATGATTACATGTGATGAGGGTGGTTACATATATATTGGTACATTAATACTACCAGAACTAACTTAAAAATATATATTTACATGAAACACGGGATGTGAGAAGCCATCCATCAATGACACTCACTAAATTAATTAACTTAATTTTAACTTTTAATTCATTAATACCCAACCTTGCAAAATAGTATTGATAAATTAATTTACAATAAGATTATTAATTTTTTTATGAAACAATTAATTTTAATTTGTTACACATTGAAGAAAAGATTTTTATTCATTTAATTAAACTTATATTTAAACAAGGAAGTATTATGAAAGTAAAGCAGGTAAAGTAGTTTAAGATAATGATATAATATAGATACTAAAAAAAAAAAAATTAAAATTAAAGTTTTGTAATGTTTAAATAAGTTATGAAGCAATATTTTAATTTTTACTTTTGTAAAATTGTATTATAAGTTGAGATAAATATGTTATTCATAACTTTAAGATTTTCATGTGTAAAATACCTATGTAGCTTTAACTGATTCAAGGTTTGTAAAGTATTATTGTTTATTATGGAGCTTTCTAAGAATGTTATTGTGTTATCATGGTGGCAGATTTGTTAATTATGGGTTTCATTTATTTTTGTTTATTACTAGTTACTTTTTTTCATTTGTTTAAGTTTTTAAGTTTTTCAAGTCTCCATCATAAGTTTAAAGCACCTTATATCACCTGATCCCCATTGTATTTGTTCATTAGTTAGGTATAATTGATTTTATTAAAATACTATAATGGTTATATTTAAAATAAATTTATACTTGCTAGTATTAAAAAATAAATAGTATAATATAAGTGTATCAAATTTATTTTGATATTAATATGTCTTATGTCTGGGGGTAAAAAAAATTGTATGACAAAAATAATACAACATTTTTAATATTTTTAGTTAATAAAGTGATGTGTTCCAAAATACATATTTGAACACTATGTTGAAAATGTACAAATACAACATTATATCTAGTAGTTTTCTTATCAACGACACCAATCGTTTCAATTTTAGCTTTTTACCATTTTCAGTTATATTCTGTGGTTTTAGCATCATAATCAAAATATATTTTTATATATTAATTTAAATTTTAGAATATTTAATTGAAAAGTTTTATACCAACATTGAGCTATATTTAACAAAAATAGTAGAAAATAAACTGATTTAATGCTAGATTTTTCCATCCTCTTATTATTATAATTATTATTAAACTTAATATCTTTAAAATTAAAAAAAATATTTAATAAAATTTACATTATCAACAGTAAGTTTAGGGTAAAATAAAATATAAATTAATAAACTATAATTAAGTTGACTTATAATTATATAACCAAGCTTTAATGCTATTGATACATTGATTTATTAAATTACCTATATAGATAGTCAAGTCGACATCTCCACATTTAACTAAAAGCATTTTATCAATGGAAAAACAAATGATTATTTATTTTATTTTCAAATAAATCAATCCATTTATATACATAAACAATAATGAGGAATTTAGATTTGTTTCTTGAGAAACTCGTCATTTACAAAATAATTGTGTTCTATTTGTAAAGTACCTAAAATGAAAACAGTTCTCAAGTAACACAATGGATACCATACAATTTTAATTTTTAATCAAAATACTAATATGTATATTGTATTACCTATTTCATAAATATGAAAATGCAAGAGTTATCATCAATATACAAACAATGTTATTCAGTAATAAATTAATTACAATTATAATTTATAGTAATATTAACATAAGGATTAGGTAAGCTTCAATAAACCTTCATTTAAGCACCTACTTCTTTTAACATTTATAATAAGTAATATATTATGCTTGATTATTTAATTAAACCTGAACTAAGTTAAATAATTGTTAAAAAAAAAAAATTAAATTAAAATTATTTTTTAATTACTGTTGGCATCATAATAAAATAATCAGAAATTCTGACTGGAACTTTTGTGATATAATAAATACATTTATACATGTTTATAATCATTTTTTTAACAATATACTATATTGCCATAAACATTAGAACAAACTTCCATTAACTGAGCATTACTTTATAATCACAGAATTAACAAATTTAATTTCAATACAATTAAAAATATCTTGTGAAAATACTAAGTTGAAAAATCTATAAAAATATTTAAAAAATATTGTTTACATTATTATTTTAAAATTATTTGGATATTCATTCCATTTTATTATTTAAGTAAGTAATCATATATTAACTGAAATATTTATTATAACACTTAAATATAAGCTATATTATTATTTTTTAGATAAATGTTTATGAAAATTGGTACATTATATTCTATATAAATTCTTGAGTAAGAATTTTTTTTTTAATATACACTTTAGTTAGGTATGTTTGAGTGAATGTTGTCAATGACTCAATTTCTGATTTTCTGTTTAAATCACATAACATTAATACCTAAAAAAAATAAATGACTAATTATTTATGAATCATATTGTTATATTGCAGGAAGTGTGTATTAAATTGTTTGTGCATTGATAATTTTAGTTTTAGAAGTAAAAAATTATAGGACTGTGCCCAGGTAAAAATTATAAAAACAATTCCAATTAAAATTTTACTAATCAAAGGCAAACAAAAAAAAAAGGTTTTTAAAATGTATTTCTTGACATAAACATTTTGTGTTTTAATTGAAATCTACAGATAGGATTGAATGATACTTTTAGATTTTTTTAAAGTACTATAATGTATATTATAAATAATATGAATAGTACATTATTATAAAAATTATACTAATAATTTAATGAATTACTCTACTAAGAATCTAAGTAAAATACTAATCAGTACCTATTAACTACAATATATCATTATAGGAACAAACCATTGCATTTAATTTTAATAATACCTGTTCCAAAAGCTTATGATTGGAATTTATATACGGTCTTTTTAAAAGTGATTTCAATCTATCTTGATCCAGATTAGTTAAAGTAATACTTGGTAAATTTAATGATACTATGTCTGTTGGATAAACTCCTAGCCATTTTATTGATGGCACGCATAGCATTTCATTTTGATGAATCATTGACTAAAAAGTTAAAATTAAAATCAATATTTTTATTACATAGATTTATTAGATAATATATGTTTAATTTTATTAAGTCAATATAGTTATTATTTATTTCTTACACTGGAGCCAAATCTGTAAACACACATTATTTCTATACCAAAAGGATTTGCATCAACCAAAGCTAATATTGGAATATTTAATTTGCAAGACAATTGTTTCACAAACAACCTGGTATTGATATCAGGAAATCCTTTACCCTAAAAATAATTTAATATGGATACTCAATGTAATATTGCCATCTTGTTAAAAATAAGATAAAAGGTATACATAATAATTAATAATCATAGTTTATAACTCACAGTAATTATGACAAATGTACATTTTTTTTTATTTAATAATCCTTCATTGATAATTTTTTGAAATGATGCATTTTTTTCAATTATTAGAATATATTTTGCATTTGATTCTAAATTTTCTATTTCTAAAACATCCTGAGGTATTTGTATACCTACAGCAATAAACAAGTACCCATAATATTCAGTAAATACTCGGTAAATAGTCTTTTTTAAAGTTCAAAACTAAAAGAAGGTAAGAATGTACATATAACAGTAAATGATACCTACCTAATATATTACCATAACATATACCATTCATCAAAGTTCAATAATAAGTATGATTTAGCAATACAGGTATCTATTATGTTAGAAAAAATATCTTACTAGCTTTTAATATTCATTTAATTAAATTGCTAGGATAACCAACTACCAGTTAAATACCTATCTATTTCATAATTTTTAAGTTTTATTAAGTTTTTATTGAAATAAAATGCAAAATTACTAATATGATAAGTTCAAAGGACTAAGAATTAATACTTTACCTTCTGTAGTACAAGAACAATCAAGAAATTTTCCATTAGACATATAAATCATTAGATCTCCTGCTACTAAACCACTAGAAGATAATGTAATACCCAGTTCCCAAGATTTTGCACCTAATAAACAACATATATCTATAAGTGCCTTCCTTACAGTATTGCTATGTTTGAATAGAATTGTATCTCCATAGTATAGTTCTCTGAAATGATTTAAACTACAATTAAATTGAATATTAAAATGTAAATAATATATTTAGCAATAATAACACCACTTCATATTTATGAATATTATACACTTTTTAATTTTTCATACATAAGTATTTTGATTGTAACTACAATTATCTTATATAAATATAGTATTTATATTAAAGACATTATCTTAAGATTTATAGGCACTATCTTCCTGTTATGTACCTAGGTTGTAGCACTTGTTGGTGTCTAATTTATTATATTAGGTATCCTGAATACATAATTTAACTTTTGATTTGAAAATTGTTTTACCTATTTAATTATTATTATTGGTATGATTAACATATTTTTTCTTTTAGTTATGCATATTGCCGTTAAAATAAGAAATCTTTTTATACATTATAATGTATAATCAAGTTTTGGTTATAATTGGTCATTCTTCTTAAATTTTGAATTTTAAAAAAGTTTTAAAAACTTTACCTTAGTAAAAAAAAAAAAAATGTATTTAATATTATTATATATTACTAGTGATAAAATATTAAAATAGAAGATTATTAAGTTTATTTTAAATGATAAGTTTATAATCATTACTAAAAAAATATACAACATATATTTTAAATATCTAGTTAAATTTTTAATGAAAATTATAATATCTTATTTGATTGTTATAAGAACAGATTTAGATATTTTTTTAATATTTTTTATGAAAGTTTTAGATATTTTACAGTCATAAACATTTTCATTCTAACAGATAGAGAACACAATAAATTTCCCGGAAATTTCAAATTTTTAAGACCCTATTATTTATTTTTAACATTTTCAATTTACAGATGTGAAATAAATTAATAAATATTGTATGATACCTATTTATTTTTTATTATTTAGCTTTTCACTGTCCCAAAAAAATTCATAAATCATTATAAAAAAAAATACATTTATGTCTCACTCGAAATCAAAAAGTAAATACTTAAACCTCATTTAATTATATCAGTTGTTATAAAGATTCAGTTATTGTTTTATAAAATTTAAATAGATTTATAGTTACATATTAAAGTAAATTAAGTTTCATACTTTCATCATAAATAAATATTGTTATTTGTGACTCATTTTACCTTGTTGTACATGATTTTTTGGTCATTAAATTTTTATAAATTTTTGACAAAAGATAAATGATAATTGTATAATTAATTCGACTTCGCTTGCTATGAAATTGTAAAGTCTTAATCATAATATGTTTTTCACTATTATACACACAACTAGAGCTACAAAAAACATAATAATAACAATATATTATTTTTATTTAGGTATAAGTATTTTAAATACATTTTATTAATGTATTACACTAAAAATTAACTATAGATAAAACATATATTAATAGCCAATATATATACCAATAACTAACAGAATCAGTATAACTTAGATACTTATTTATGTTTACTAGTATTGTCTTAAATAATTAGGTTTCTCACCAATTTGAAGGTTTAATTAAATTAATTACGAGTTTATTATTATTGTATAAATTGTTGACAATATTTAAAATTATATTTTCTATTCTCATTAAAATTTGTTTAGTTCTTTCATTTCCAGTATCATCTAAAAATTTAAAAACAAACAAAATTATTGAAATACATTTATGGTTAAATACAGTTTACTTAAGTACCTATACCTAATCATTTAGTTACGATTTTTTTTTTTTTTTATTTATAATTATTTCAAGATAAATTTAAAAAGTAGCAAATTATATAATTATTCCGAATTCCTGAATAGTAGATATCGAGTGTAAAGATATTATCATTGAGTAAGTCATTATAATGTATTTTTTGAAATTGTATTCATTATTTTGAAAATATTATTTTATATATACAATTGAATAATTGATTTCATAATTCCAAAGAGCAATATTTTTGAATTATTAAAATCGTTATTATTCGTTTAACCTACCTATTTAATTTAGACTAAATCTAAACTTTATATTCTATAAAAATAATTTTGTTTGTGTATTTTTTAGTAATAACCTAAAGAAACCTCGAGTTAAATTATCAAAATTGTTAATTAAACAATTTATTATCAACATTTGTGAAAAAAAATAAAAGATTTCTTATGGTCTATAAATAACTTTAAAAAAAAAGTAATAAGAAAACTAATTTGAAACTGGTATGTAGTGTAAAAATTCCCGTTTAAGTGGTTTTGCTTCTTTTTTTTTCAAAAATACTTACTTGTAGTTTTTAGTTTTAACTTCCTAAAAGTACCAACTAAATCCAGTTTTCAATTATAAACTATCCTTAAAGTGAAAAATCTCATTATTTTTTCTTCTATAAATCGTGTATACGTATTGTTATTATAGTTATTAGTTATTAGAGTTATTACTTATTACCAATGTACACAAATAAAAAGGATTGCATATTATTGTTAAATCAATACATCGCACTACTTAGAATCTACAAAACATTATCATGATATTTCATTTTTTTTTAATAAAATTTTTTTATGTTTATCGTGTGGAGTTATTTAATTATAGTACCTATAATTATTATTATGAAAGTGTTACTTTTTGGATATTTTTTAATGTCAAGTATACAAAAATACAAGTTGAAACTGAAATTACTTTTAGAGATGTGCTACAAATTAAAAATCGATAATATTATATGCACATTAACAATATAGCAGTATTTATGTACTAGGTACCTAGTTGTACTATATTTATTCTACGAGTATATTTACTATATTAACATAAAATAATTTTACCTTTAGAATGGCTGTCTATTAAAGAGATATACATTAAATATAAATCTACTTTTTTTTTATAGAATCAAATTTATACCCCTTTAATTTTAAATTCAGAATAAAATTTATTGCATATGAAAGATCATTATTTTTACGCTATTCATAGCACTATTTGTAATTATTTTAATTGTACACATACAATGTGTGTGTGTGTGCCCGCGCACGCGTGTAAATAAAAATAACATTGATATTAGTAGGAAACGGATTTAAAAGTTCTAAAAAACAAGAAAAATGCCTTCAAAAAAATACGATTTAATGCATTCATGAAAAAATTTTCTTTTTAAAATGCACCAAAAAAATGCTCTTAAAATTATTTTTTATGAAAAAATTTGTTTAATTATATAAATTCTTATTATTAGGTATTAATTATCTAATATTAGTATTTTCATCTAATTTCATGTAATTATTAATGTACAACGTATATACCTAAATGTATATACGTGTCATCAATAATGTCGTCTGGCATTACAACTCACATCAGTCACATTTATCTGATAGGTAATAACATAATAAATAATAAAAATAATAGTACGAAATATACAATAAATAATATTCAATTTAATTTTTTTTAAATGAATTTTTATCGAATTTTATCCATTTCTATATAAAAATAGTTTAAAGCTTAAAAATGCACTAAAAATGTCAAAAAATGCAAAATCAAAATTACATTTCTTAATTCCTTGATATATGAAATGAAATTTGTGCTTGGAATTGGAGAGCAATGTTTTCGGACATTCAGAAAAAAATGCAATTTATATTTAAATTCGTTCCCTAGTTATTAGTATAATAAATATTACAGATACCTTTATAGATACTTACTATTGGTATGCAATTTTGTATTCATTTTGTAGTTTTGGAATAATAAAATATATATCTATAATTAAATATTTTTATACTTATAAATTAGGCAAATTAAAGCTGGTAGTATACATATACTCGTAAGTCGTAGGTAATAATATAATATTTAAATATGTATAGGGTTTATAGATAAAATAGATAAAAGATATAAAATAAGTGTTATAGCTAATAAGTATTTTATTTAACACTTACTGATCAAAATAAATTTAGTACCTATATAATAATATATTAGTTATACGCATTACGCGTGATACTAATTACAACAGTGCATTAGTGCAGTAGTCTTTATGAAAACAAATAACTTACTTGGCAGAAAACAATGGGAAAAAAGTAAAATTCTCTAATTGGGTACGACAAAATCAGTGTAGCTGCATGCATTTATCTAAATTATTGTTCAGATGTTATCCAATATTGTAGGTATATTTGTATGTACAAGTGTTCTGTTTAAAAATGGTCGTAACTCGAAAATCGTAATTAATATGACATAATAGATCTACATATTTTATCATGGCAATTAGTAATTTAATGAATAATTGCATTCGAAATTGTTTAAGGTGATAGTTATTATTAATATTATTAGTTAATACAATCGTTTAACATAAATAGTCTGTGGTTTTAAGTTTTAACTACATTTGCAAGATTGAGACGACACGTGCGGATGTATATAACGTCCTACCTCTTAAGTATTAACTACAGACCATATAAAATCATAAACACAAAACAGTACAGAGGATGACCCAGATAACGGTGGGCTGATATATAGAATCATGGAAGACCTTAAGATGACTAGGATAGAGAACGTGATTACGTGAAAGAAAGATCAATGGACAGAGAAAATTGGAGAGAGGTTATTGCTACAGCGATGGACCTTAATGATCATTGAAATGCCTAAGAAAAAAAAAAAAATTATATTTTATAATTTATACCTACTATTTATTATATCGCTGCAGTGCATATCGACCTTTACTCAAAGTAGCGAAACGACCGTGTACATTATTAAAAAAGTAATAAATTATATCCAATACTAAATTATGTAGAATTATCAGCTTCAATTATGGTTATATATAGATTGTCACCAAATGAAATTAATAAAATGGCCAAAAGAGTAATTTACAAAAATTATGAAAGATTGCAGTCGTTGGTTGCAGACTATAATACAGTACACGTTTAGTATTGTATATATATATGTAATGCAATAATAAATTAGTGAAATACCTAAGAATTTTTAATAAGTACAATGAGTAAGCTATAATATGTCCTACAAGAGATGAAAAATTTATTGATTTTTAATACTCTTTTGTTCACAAAAGTCAATGTGGCAAAATTCGTTGGCAATGTCTCAAGAAATCTAGTTCTTCAAAAATATTTATAATTTTATCATAGATATCTTTTTTGACTTTTAAATAAATAATTCAATATGGATTACATACTAATATTAAGTAGGTAATTTCCATATAGAAAGAAAGTTTAGGTATGCCTATTACTAGATATATGTAGGTAGTAGCAGTGCCGCAACTTGGTTATTTAAGGCCCCAGGGCGAAATTAAATTGTGGGCCCTATAACCTAACTTATAACTATGTATAAAATACTATTATATAGATATTTTTTATCAATAAAATTAAGAGGTATGATAAATGATTATTATTTTGTTTTTTAACTATTAAATTCTATGCCATGGAAATAATATCTGTATATTATATAATTATTATATATATATATATATGTAAATATCTTTATTTGAACAATGTTTTATGTAAATTAACAATTTAAAAAATAATAATATATTAATAATCAATCAAATTTCATTCTTCTTGCTTTCATATTTGAAAAATTTGTTATAATTTTTTCTATATCTATATCTTTTGTACGACTCTGTTCGATATTTAAAACTGAAATATTAGACAGCCGCTCTTGTCCAATTGAGTTCCTTAAGTAGTTTTTTATTATCTTAAGTTTTGAAAAAGATCTTTCTGCGGTTGCAACCGTAACCGGCAATGTCAAATAAATTATACATGCTCCTAATACTTCAGAATAACTTGTAGCAAAGTCATTTTCAAGAATAAACGAGGCTAGTGCTTGGATACTATTTAAATTTTTATTACTTATAATTTCTTTGATTGATAGCAGTTGACTTGTTAAATCAGAACTTATATCTGATTGATACATTTGTATGAAATCATATGATTCTTTAACAGTAATTTCACTTGGTCTTAAAAGTGATTCAGGTTTCAAAAAATTGAAGATATTACAAACATTACGTAAACCTTTAAAACGAAATTTAAGTTGACTTAATATTGTGTCAACAATTGGTAAAAATACTTTAACTTTAAAATTATCTTGTGTAATATTTATCCTTCTGTCACCATCTACTTCATCAAAAAACCGTCGTGCTTTTTTTTGGCGAGCCTCTTTGTCATCTGTTGGAATACCCCATTTAATTGCCAAGTTTTTTGCATTTTCAACTACACTACAGTAGTCATTTCTTAGTTGCTGCATACAAGTATAGGCATCAGTTAATCTATCTAATGCTTTCTGGAGGTCAATATCTTTCTGCTGCAAGAGTTTAGAGACACCGTGCAAAGGACGCAATACTCGTTCCCACAAACATAACATGAGTAAAAATTCAAAAGATTCTATTTTTTTTTTAATTGAAATAGCCATATGTTTTTCATCAGCTTTACTACTTGATAAACTTAAATATGTTAATGATTTTATAACTCCGATATACCTTTCTTTTAATGCCGATACTGATGAATGCCTAGCCTCCCAACGCGTAGGACAAACTTTTTTTAGTACTTTAAGTCTGATTGTTTTAGCAGTTTCATCACCAAATGCAAGTGAAGCCCATCTAGGACAACTAAAACTAAAAAAATTGAAAATGGACTGTAAGGTTGTAAAAAAGTTGGATGCAACTTGTGTTGATTTAGCTGCATCACAAATCACTAAGTTAAGGTTATGTGCACAGCAGTGTACATAATGTGCATTTGACACAACGGAAGATATTCTTTGCTGCACTCCCGAATAAACTCCACTCATTACTGCAGCACCATCATAACCTTGGCCTCGACAATTTTGGACATCTAAATTGTATTTTTTTAATACGTCATAAATAAGATTTTCATAATCTTCTGAGCCATGTTTCTTTAATTCAAAAAATCCAAAAAAAGATTCTTTTACCTCAATTGATTTAGTTCCATAGTTTAAAACAACATAACGCAATATAACACTCAATTGGTCAATTTTTGTTATATCTTGTGTAGAATCTACAATTATTGAGTAATATTTAGATATTTTTACTTCATTTGCTAATATATTTAATACTTCTGAGGATAATAAATGAATTAATTCATTTTGAATTTTCCAACTCAGATATTTTATTTTATTATTTTCATTATTCAACAGATTATTTAAAACAGGATCAAAATCTGCCATCAGCCTTACAGTCCTGATAAAGTTACCTTCTGTAGTATTTATTTTAGTTTTACTGTTTTCATTTCCTCGAAGGGCAGTATTCCCTGCAGTTAAAAATAAAATAATTTTGATTAATCTAATTAAAACACTTCTCCAAAAAGTAGCTTCTTTAACAATTTTATCTTCTATATGTTTATCTATAGTTTCATTTTTTAACCAACGTACTCGGACTTCAGTGGCTTGAATGTGCTGTTGAGAGATTTCATGTGTTCCAATTTTTTCTCCAATATGATGCCAATCATTAATTCCTGATATCCAATTTATTTTAAAATTGCTATTTTTCCTATCAGCAAAAAGCCAACATGTTTCACAATATGTACAATCTAAAATAACTGAATAGCATATCCATGTTCTGGGTATACGCAATCCTGTGTTTGTGGTTTTGTAATAAAACTGTACTGAAAATCGTCTAAGGATACCTTTACCATCAGGGCTGTATGGAAATTCAATGTTTATGGGTTTACATGGTCCATGCAATAAAATACTTCTCTTCAAATCAGATTGTACAATATCCAACTCTTTAAAATGTCCCCGGTCAGTTGGATAATCGGTTGTTAAATCTAAACCTATAAATAAAACAAAATATACTATAAAATTATAAGGTAATGAATATCAAAATGATTGAACTATTTTAAAGTTATATAAATATCTAAATACATTTAATATAAATTAAAAAGGATTTAACAATGTACCTAATTATTAATATTTATTTATTTATTAAGCCTAATTTATATTTTTACATTTTTACATTTTAATAATTTTATGAAGTATAATTTACCTGGTTTATCAATAATGTTTGATTCAACATGATCACAAGTTACTGACAATTCCATATTAGTATTTGCATTTGTTGCATTACTAATTAAGTTAGTAGAAAAATTATCAACTAAAAGAAAAAAAAAATCACTTCATAAAATACAATAAATTTAAAACATTCATAACGATAACAATCAATAATAATAATATGATATTATGAATAATTATTATAGGTATATTATTAAACAACAAAATGGAAATTGCAAAATAGAAACAAAAAAATAAGTTAAAGCAATACTTATACAGTTGTACTATTAAGTATTAAGTAATTAATATCAACATTACTATAAATAATTCTATTGAAATATAATATAGGCATTTATTCTTATAAGCTTATTCAGTAGTTAATATTTTTACATTTTAATAACTTTATGAAGTATAATTTACCTGGTTTATCAATTATGTTTGATTCAACATGATCACAAGTTACAGACAAATCCACATTAGTATTTGCATTTGTTGTATTATTAATTAAATTAGTACAATTGTTAACTAAAATATACAAAAAAAGGTCAAATAAAATTATTTACAGTTGTGTACAGAATGTAATATTATAATAATTAAATAATTAATGTAAAAATATAAAAACTATATTGCTTTTAAGATTTAAGTTTAAAAATAAAATTACCATCCAGCATTTTAAAACAGTTATTTACCTGTATTATCCAAATTATTCTTTACTAAAAACATATTTAGTGAACCTTTTAATTTTTTTATTTCTTCCTCTTTTTTAAGTTTCATTTTTCTTTTTGCTGAACCACTAAGATGTTTTGACATTTTTACAAAAAGTATTGTGAAAATAACTAATAACTAATAAGTAAAAAATCACGTCACAATTAACACACGTTAAGTTGGGTAATGGGTAATGGCCAATGGGTAGTGAATTCAGAATTGGTAAGTTATAAATTAATAACTTGTGTTAAATCAAAACAAAACAAATAATGTTTTAATTCTATTTTTATTTTGTGGTGTTATAATAATACAAGAAGACAAATTGTAAATATTCAGTGTAGCCAACCAGCTAAGCTTTTCAATGTTTTCTTCATAAAATTATCAATTATATATATATGTGTAATTATTAATTATATCCACGATATCGTGATTGTATCTGTGTAATTTTTAAAATAAGATAAATATGTCGTATAATAGCGTTATTATCTGCTTTATATTTACATTTTTTCAATTCAAAAATTGTTGTTAATATTTTTATAATTAAAAACTAGGAAAAAATAATAATAGGTGGATCATTTATGGGCCCCTTCAAAAAATAAATTTAGGCCCTTTGGCAGGGCTTCGCCCTGCCTGCCCTGGTGCTAGTTGCGGCACTGGGTAGTAGGTACCTACCTAACATACCTATATCTATCAACAAGCTATAATAATGAAATTAAATTTTAAATGAAGTAAAACTTCCGTTTTTTTGTATAATATGTTGTTTTAATAGCTATTAATAAAAAGCCAAGATTTAATAAATAAATAAAATTAGTGTTATAATAATGCAGTGAAATTTCTAAATACTGATCACTAATAATTTTGTTTGTCTACTATTCGAAGATATCTGCTATTCGGAGAGTTCATGTAGAATCATTGTAGTTTATTCCCAAAATCTATTTGCTTTTTGGAGGAGTTAATTAGGGGAAATTTTACTATATATTATATATATATACATTCTGTTAATTTTTAAAATCTAGATAGATAGATTTACACATTAGTGATCAGAACATTACAATGATGTCTAATTGTTAATTCGTCTGATTTGTTGTCATTAATAACTGTGGTCCTTTGTTGCGAATTTGCAGTACCACTAGAAATAATTAAATAAAACTTCTATTTACAGAAACATGTTTTTTGATTTGCATGACTTTGAATTGTTTATTACTCAATCGGTACAAAAGTTTTGGAGGCTGGCATTAACTTTTTTGTTTTTATCAGGTTATAAAATTGTTATAAAAATCGGGAAATCTGTACTATATAGTTTCGCTGTGAACTATAGTTTATATTAATTAATATAAAAATGATTAATTGTGGGTAGTTGTAATAGTCGTAGTTTAATCAAATTTATTTTATACTTGACGTGGATCATATTGATCGTAGACATTTAAATCAATAATTTGACATATGAGAAATAAAGTTAAATTGATATGAGCATCAGGTTTTCTGTTTACATTGTGAAATACACTGTTCTTCATAAAAGTATATTATATATATAAAAAAAAAATAGAAAATTGATATTTTGTATGTAAAATATATATGAATATTATTTAAATATATATTAATAGTTTGATAATTATTTTGGGTTGTTTTATTGTTACTTGTTTTTTTATAATGCCACCAAAACGACGAAATATTGGGCGTCGCACAAATAATGCAAAAAGAATGAGAATACAAAGAATGAATGAATCTAAAAAACAACGCAAACGACGAATTGAATCAGTAAGATTATATCAGTCAAAGCAGTGTTTTAATAAAAAGGTAAAACAATACGAAACACAAATTGTATTAAATCATTCGAGAATTGAACTAACACAATCAACGTTATCATATGCTGATTAGAATTTGGATTGTAAAAATAATTGTTTACAAATGCAATCAAATCGATTGAATCAAATAATAAAAGTTGAACCTACTTTTGATGAGGAAAATCTTGAAATTGATCACAACTTACATTTAGCTGATGATGAGAATGAATGAAAATAAAGATGAATTACATTACAAATTATTTAAAATTTAAGATGAACCACTATAATGGGTTGTTTAAATTGTCCGTTTTAAATTCATCCTCTACGCCATTGATCACGGATGAAGATGAGTAATATATAATATTATGTTCCTAATATTTATGAATAGTAAATTATTTTTATTTATATAAATTAAAAAATTATACTTTAAAGGCCTAATATAAATCAATGTAATTTCAATTATAAGTAATCAAATTAATATTATAAATCAATAATAACAATTAATAGAATTATTATATCAAGGTTCAATTACATATATAGTTTTAGACCTTTGTAAAGTTTAAAACAATCATATTGTAGACAATAATTATGTATTGATACAATTGAAAATTTCTTTGTAAAATGTTGTCTTTTATTTCATTTATTTTGATAGACCCAGTCTTATATTGTTAATTTCAAAATTAGAGTAAATAAACTATTGAAAAATTTAAAATTTGAGAATAATTTTTCAGCAATATAATATTAGAATTTTTAATATTTTACATAACTATCTATTCATACAACTCACTAAAAAATTGAAAAATCTAAAATGCATACAAAAGTAATTGTCTTATATTTAAGTTTGATATTGAATCATAGGTCAATTCATTTTAATATAAAAATTATTAAAAATAAGTAACAACACAAAATTGGTATTGAATAACACAAAATTGGTATTGAATAACACAAA